TTTTTTTTCTAGTACTGTTTTTTTTTTTTTTATGGTTTCTGACTAGTAACGGGAACCGCCGCGGCTGTTACTACTAACAGGGCACCGCTGTGAAGTCCCCGCCCTCATTTCACTTGTTTTCCTGCTCTCCGTTTCGCTTCACCCACCCACACAACCTGTCTATATGCCTTGCGGAAGGAAGTATTTGCAGATGAACTCCCAGAGGCCGGTGTCTCTTAGACATGACGTGCCCACAGAGTACATTCGCGCACTCGACCCAAAGCTCTTGCCTCCGCGTGTGGGCCACAATTGGCTTGACCCGGCATTCCGCAAGGTGCAGGATAAACCACAGCAGTTGGAGGCGGAGCTCCGTGGGAAGCGGGCATTTATATCAAAAGGGGTCTACGATCACACCCCACCAGAGAGGCTGGGACGGACGGCGCAGCAGCTTATGCATGCCCTATCAACAAGGAGAAAAGTCGGCATTGAGGCTGATCGGCGTGCGCAGTACACAACGCTTGCAGACAAGGTGCTTCGTTTCTACGCCTTTTTCACGGAGAAGGCCCCGGAGGGATGCCTGGAAGAGTACTGGCACCGCCGCGTTGTCATAGATTTCTTTCCAGAGGATGACACGGTTCTGATACAAGAGCCACCTATCCCAAACAGTGGACTACGTGGGGGAACTTTTCTTAAGCGCCAGCGTGTGCGTGCCGACCCACGGCAGCGGGAGGAATTTCCTGACGATGAATTTCTCACTCTTAACCACTTCAATGTAGGTAGACCTGTGCGCATTAATGCCGTCGAATTTTTCCTGTATGACTGTGACTTGTTTACGCGAGAGTTTCTCACTGCCCTTGGCGTGAACGTTGCTTCCCCTGTAACGTGTCCAGACTCCTCATTTATGAGTGACTGGAAACGACACCAAGAACGGATGTTGTCTGCCAAGTTTGGTATTCTCTCACAGGACTTTCACGGGGATGAGGCGGTACGGGCGGCACGCTTTGTGCAGGATAGTGGGAAAGTTTTACGCTTCTACTCCCTTCTGGACGAGCGGAACAAGGTGGCTGGGGGCATTGTCAGGAAGCTTGAGGTGTTGTACTTTGTGGAGGATGACTCCATGGCGGTGGTGGAGCGCCCCACGTCCAATGAGGCGACCCCTTCCCTCTTTCTCTCGCGTGGGTGGGTGCCGAAGGAGGGATCCATTGCGAAAGCCAATGAGTTGACGTTTGCTCATCGAGTAAACGGCATGCGGGAACCGTACATTGGACCCGAAGGACACTACACGGCGAGGGACCTAGGTGTCGGCATCACCATTAACGTGCTTGGTCGTCACGTTTTTTTGTACGACTGCGACGATTTCACACGCTCGTACTACTTGGAGAAATACGGTGTAATACTTTCGGATGCGGTGGACTGCCGCGACGAGTATGGACTCTCTCCGGAATCAAGAGTCACTGCATTTCGGCTCACTGCCACGCCTGCTTCTGTTGTTCCCACCGGGAGAGACGATGCAGTCTTGGAGAAGCGAACAGAATGTAAAATGAAGGATGTGCTTCGCTTTCTTTTACGCCTTGCACCGCCATGTTCCGCCGTTGAGCGTCAGCGGCGGTTCACCCTTACGTATTACACAGATACAGATGAGGCTATGGTGTGTGAGACCGTTGTCCGAAACTCCGGCTTTTTGGGTGGTTGTTTCTGCAGTCGAAAACGCCTACCAAAACCAGTGGGATCTGGGGAGGCGTACTACACCGTCTCGGACTTTCCTGTGGGCGCGGTCATCGTGGTGAACGGGCACAGGTTTGAGGTAGTGAACATGGACGAGCACACGGCAAACTATTTGGCGGGGGAGAACGTGCCCGGGATGAATGAGGAGCAGCTGCAGCTGCTCATCACCGCCTTTCGCCTGTTTCTGGAAACACGCTTCCACACCTTCAAGGATGCCTTCCTTGGATTTGACCGCGACAAGGACGGAGTTGTAAGTGTGACAGAGTTTGTCAACCATCTGCAGGAGCTACAAATCACGGGGCGACGCATGGACGGGCAGGCGCTGTTTGACCACATCGCACCGTTTCCTGAGACCGGCTACCTGACGATGGAGGATCTTTTGAAGTGGATGTCCGAGACGGCAACGAACAAAAGCCAGAAGACGCACGAGCCCATTGACGTCGAGGAGCGCACAGTTGTAAGGAAGGCGCTACAGCAGCTATGCATGCGGCTCGAGGCGCGTTGCCTGAACAGCTTGCAAATGTTTCGCCTCGCTTCGACGATGCCGCGGGCGTATACGGAGCGCCGGGCTGACATCTACTCTTTGGCAAACCCGAATCGCGATGCCTCTGTAACACCGGTGCAGTTGCGCCGTTGCATTGAGGAGGTTGTGGGCGGTAACCCTGCACCGCGGGAGATGGATGCGCTGCTGGCGTTCTTTTTCCCACGGTTGCCGCCGGAGGAGTACCGCAATAGACGCGACGTCAGCCTCGAGCATGCTTTGGACCTCAAAGCGTTCCAGAAGAAGTACCACGAGATGAATAAGTTGCTAATGCTGCCAGATATGCCGCAGCAGCAGCAACATCAGTTGTTGCCGCAGGTGGGATGAAACAGTACAACAAGATTTTTTTTTGCGTGAAATAAATAAAGACAAAAACAAAACTATATATATATATATAAATGTTTGGGCGACTCATGCGTGCATGCCGGTGAGTGGGGACATGAGCATAGTGCATCCATAAATGTAGAGCTGCAGCAGGCACCGTGATGTACATGACAACAAAGAGGGCAGGTAGGCGATCAAGAGGACATCTATGTGGTACAGCTGAGACATGTTGCGCCTAGTTGACTTTCATCCGCCTTTTCACCACGAGAAGAGTTTGCCATCTTTGTTGTTGTTGTTGTTTTTTTTTGTTCTAGGAGTTGCGAGGAACGTGACAAACGAAGTTTTCAAAGAACAAAAAAAACGTAAGGAAGACTGCATCAAAGCACAGCGTCATTGTATTGTGTTTTACAGAACTGAGATGCAGGGTAAGGAAATGCAGGAGCCGCAGAAGACGTTTGATGCCGCACAGAAGTGCACTTTTCCAAGCTGCACACCCGAAAAGGAAACGGAGGACAAGCGAAGGAGTCATTCTGCATCTCTCACAGACCAGCACTTAGCATTGCAGAATCAACTGATGCGGATCAAGAATGCATACTACTATGCCCCTGGTGATGCCATGGCGGAAGTGCATCCAACGCAAGGAACTGTCTCACCACGCCACGGCAAAAATATCCCGCCTCCGTGTATCGTTTCCGGGAACGGTAATCGTCCTCTCGCGGAGTCAGTGTCGATGTTGCTGGGATTCCCCACCCACCAAACGCTGGTGGGGCAGCATGCGAATGGGGAGGTGAATGTGCGCATTGATGAGAGCGTTCTTGGCGCCGATGTGTACATCATTCAGAGCATGGCAGGAAATGAAGTAATAGACGTGAACACGGCTGTAATGGAGCTACTTTTTCTAATTCGAAAGATGCGTCTAAGCAATGCCAGGCGGGTTACTGCAGTGATTCCGTACCTCGCTTACTCCCGCCAGGACAGCAAACACTCCGCACGCAGCACCGTGTCTTCCTCCGCCATTGCAGAGATGCTGACGCAAGCGGGTGTAGACCGTGTCACGACACTGGATCTCCATTCTGGGCAGATACAAGGCTTTTTTGAAAACACTCCACTCGACAATCTGCAGATGAGCCCGGAGTTTGCAAAATATCTCTGTAGTCAGTCTTGGTTTGACCCAGACAACATGGCAATTGTTTCAGTTGGTTCCAGCGGCCTAGAGCGAGCAAGAAAGTTGGCTGACGTCCTGAGGATTGGTTGCATTGTAACCATCATGAAGCGATGCAGTGCTTCCGGGGTCGAAACATTGCAGCCCGTTGGCGATGTAAAGGGCCGTATCTGTGTTGTTCTGGGGGGCATGTGTGACACGGGCCACACCACTGAGCAGGTGTGTGCACTTCTCCATGACTTGGGCGCAACAAAGATAACCGCCTGCTTTACGCACGGCATTTTGACCCCACCGTGCATCCAGCGCATTAACGATTGTGAATCTCTTAGTGAGATTGTCGTGTCCGACTCCATTCCCCAGGAGGAACATCTCCGCCTGATTCCCAAGTTGAAGGTGCTTACCATTGCCCCCCTTCTCGCCACCGTCATCGACATGCACACACGGGACGAGGGCATCAGCTCTCTCTTTGACATGTCCCCTCTTCAACTGGGGGAAAAAAAGGTGTCTTGCGCACCTGAAGCGATGCCATCCCATTGAGGCGGGCTGGGTGATGGGAAGCCGCCGCAAAGGTTGAGCGGCCTAGTAAGTGAGAGAAGAAAAGACACATGCACACGCACACAAACTAAAGTGAAAAATTGCAAGAATAACGATAGCTGCAGCGACAATATGCGTTGGTGATGGGATGACTTCCAATAACTCTTCACCCGCACTGCAAAAGCAATTCCAACAGAAGTAGTTTGGTGAGAAGCGTCATGTTTACTTTGTTGTTTTTTATTTGTCCAGCACAGTTAAAAAAAAAAATAACAAATTAACACGCACAATAAAGAAAAAAAAACAATTGGGTTTTCCTTGTTTCCGAGTTCCTTGTGGGCCTCTCCACGACGGCACAGCTGTACCGCTTTAGTTTCTTTTTGTTTTTTATTCGCCTTTATTTTCTCGGGGGAGGGCTTTTCACTTGGACTAAACAGTGGTATTCTTTGTTGTCGTAGTGGCGGGTGGCAAGTAACAAGGGGCTGCAATGTCTTCTGTGGTGACGCTGCGCGAGTTGGACACCCTTGAGAAGGAGGACCAGCCCCTGCTGGAGCGGTTTGAGCGGTGTCGCCACGACGTGGTTCGTGTGTCCGCCAGCTCCATCCTACACGACTGCATTGCCGTGACTACAAAAGGCGGGTTTGTGGAGCTTATCAACATTGACACCGGCGCGTTTCGTCTCTTTCTCAGCCATTTAGGCGACACGCCACTGGAGTCACTGCTGCGGTGTTTTTCTCTCGTGCCAGCCCTCTATGCCGCGTGCGGCAGGCATCACCTGCTCTATTCACTTGCATACTCAAATGAATTACTTCTGGCGGACATGGAACAGGGCACAGTGGAGGTCCTTGCGAGATTTCACAGCCGACCCAGTGTTGTTTTCTGCGATGGCGACTATATGTTGTGTGGTGAGGGATGTGGGCAGGTGGCGCTGTGGCGGGCTCCATGTGATGCGGCGGGGGCAAAACTTTTGTGGCGGCAGCCGGTGTTTGCAGACACTGTCCTCTGCATCTCTGTGCAGCGCGATTATGTATTCTGCGCGTCAGTTGACTATCACGTCTATGTTCTGGCACTGGAGTCCGGTGAAATTGTTGCTGCGCTTCCACACGAGCCAGCACCAGCGGTCGCACTTCAGCCTGCCGCCGTTTCGCAGGTGAGTCGTACCCTTACGGTGCTGTTTTTGCCAGAGATTCTCTCAGTGTACTCCCCACCGCCACTTGTGGAGGATGCCCCGGCCACCGCAAAGATTGATAACTCTGCGTGGAGCTGTACTGCTGTACTGCGTCTCGACGTGCAGATCAGCTGTGCAAGTTGCTTCGCCGAACTCATGGCGCTTGGGACTGCCTCTGGTGTGGTGCTTCTTCTGGGAATAGAGGCAACATCTGGCGAGCTTGTGGAACGCGTGCGCTTTGACGTCGGTTTCTCTGTCGTTGGCATTCAAATGTTTTCGAACGGGAAACTGGCGGTGGTGACCTCCGCAGGTGACGTGTGGAAGTGGGCCATACACGATCTACTCCCGCGAGAGGGTGATGGTGCAGAAGAGGAGGAAGAGGAGGCGGAGAACTTGTCTGTGCCGCAGCCACACACGAAGCCACTTGATCCTACACAAACGGTGCCGCCCGCGTCAGGTGACCGCGTGGGGGTGAGTGATGAGGAGGAGATTGTGGTGGAGATGGGTGACGAAGCCTCTTCGTCTGTCTCTTCTTCGTTGTCCATGTCTTGTCACTCGGTGCGGCTTGAGAGTAATACGGCTGACGTGTACAGCGAGTCCAGCGAAGTGGGAATAGAGGGGGCCGCGGCCTGGCCATGGAGGCCGAATTTTGACAGTGACACGACACCTTCCAACCCCATCGATGGTATGACTGAGACTGGGGTTGCGCGAGGTAAAACGTCAGCTGAGGACACTGCTGCGGCTGGGGATGCCGCGGGCCAGTCGCTGTCGCTAGCGGCCGCCGTCGTTATCACTAATGATGAGGAGGACGACGGCGACGGTAGTGGTGGCAATGATGATAACGGTTATGGTGGCAAAGGCTCTGAGCATTCGTTTCAGCCTAGTAGTATTAGTATCGTGGCCGGTACAGTTGGGGCGGCAGATACTTTGCGGAGTGTCAGCTTCGCTCCGCCGCATGCGTGCCTCGACATGGACCCACACTCCACTTCTCATGTTGTGGACTGCCCTACTAGCTTCAGTGCGGATCCGTCTGCTTGCCGCGATGGAGTGCAGCTGCAGCGAGAAGGTGGGGTGATGGTCACTGCACCCGTCTCGAACGACGCTCAGTACCCATCTGCTTTCATGTCATCCGCGTGCTCTCGCGCCTTGCGGAGTGTGCTGCGCGGGACCGACTTGGGACCGCCTGCAGTCATCACTGGGCTGCGCTCCGGCAAACGCATGGATCCTAGGAAGGCACGCCATGTCGTTGAGAACAGCCATGCCGAGGTAGTATTGCCGCATCCCGAGAGCCAGAGCTCAACGGTGTTGGTAAACCACCGGCAGTCCTTGGAGGAGGCGAAGTTTGACTACGCTGAGTACGCCAAGGCTCATTCGTTCAAGGCAGAGGCGTTGAAGTATCGCTACCCCGTCAAACTCCCTGTGCACGGGCTGCACGCACAGGTGTTTGCCGCTGCAGAACCCCGACTGCAGGACCACTCTAACGGAAATGTGGAGAATGCAGAAAGCGACGATAAACGCAAGAAGCAGCGACAGCAACAGGCCATCATAGATGATCTTATGAACGTCACCTTTCAAAACTTTACACGGCGGAAGGACACGGCACTTGAGGAGGAGCGTCGTCATGGTGGTCCTGACATTCGACAGCACTTGTGCGACAACCTGCTGTTTGGGCCAGTCGATCCAAGCGCCACGGTGCTATTTCAGGAGACCCGCGTGCAGTTGACCGTACCCAAAATGCTTTTTCTTCCCATGCCGCTGCCGCCCACACCCTCGGTGCTTTGATGGGTGCAAAAGATATACGTATTCCATAGAGAAGACCTTTTTTCCCTTGCCATGTGTGAGTGAGTGTATGGGTCTGAACTCATGATATTCTTTTCCCTTAGAGACCCAGACGAAAAGTAATAATAATAATCGAAGGAGAGCACATTTCATTATCTGGCATCCCTTTGCATTCTCTTTATTCCTTGTTTCCGCTGTCTGTGTCTTTGTTCTTGTCCACAGCTTTGCTTTTCTTTTGTGAACTTTTCACCGCTGCCCGTTTGCAGAACAGCAGCAGGGGGGTGAGAGTGGAACAAAAGTTAGGCAGATATAGGGTGGAAAGTGGGAGGAGCAAAACCAAGAAGAGAGAGCAAAAGGAAACTTCGGAAAAACACACGGCCGCGATGGGGGATGAGGTGCGGTCGCTCGTGGAGCTTGTGTTCCGGCAGCGCCACGAGGAGGTACTGACGTGCGAGAGCGTCATCGTTATTGGGCGTGGGACGTCCAACAAGGGCTCGAAGGCACGTCTGCTGGCGCTCTGCCGCCCGTTCGCTTCCTCCTCCTCGTTGCCGTCGTATGTGACACAGACGACGTTGAATGTTGTGCAGGTGAAGTCCGGGCGGGTAGCCAAGGTTAAGCTGGTGTTTGTTGTGACACGCCTCGTGGACGTGAGCCACGACGGCAGTTTTGACGCAACCTTCAACTTCGGCGGAAGCGGCATGATCTCCGTCGCCTTCGAGTCACACATTCAACGAGAGATGTTTGTTGCGGCGGTGCATAAAGTGCAGCGGGACTTGCAGCCACAGTTGACGGCCGTCTCGCGGGACGTGCAGGCCTTGTTGACAGACGCGCTGGGTGCCGAGGTAGAGGCAGACGCTGCAGCACGTGTGAAAAGTCTGCAGCATGAGAAACGTCGGGCCCTCACTGCGGAGGATGAGCAGCGGCTGCGAGAGTTTCTTGGGTGGAACGGCTTTGACGACATCCGGAGTGCAGAGAAGCGACTGTCAACGCGGCAGAAAGAGGCTGAGTTGTCGTCGGTGGAGGTGCTGTTGACGTCAGTCGGCGCATGGGAAGCGGTGCGCTCGCACATTACGGAACTGATTATGGACGTGGAGGGGCTTGAGGGGCGTATTGGGCAGTACTCACGGCAAATACTTTCCAAGAAGGAACAACTACAGCGCATTGAACATCAGAGCAACGTGCTGCAACGCAAACAGCGGAATTTACGGAAACTGCACGAGCACCTTGAGGCGTTATGCAGTCAACTTAGCCTCCCGCCGCACACGAGTACGCTACTTCTGCGGCTACAAAGCACTCGAGACGAGGAGTTGGTAAACTTCTTTGCTGAGGGAAACAATGCGAAGTTGCTATCTGTTGCGATGAAGCACATGCGGTCGCTGCTGCAGAACAAAAAGCTTGGGACGGATTACCCTATCACAGCTGTGGCGGAGCGTCGTGCGTTTTTCATGGAGCAACGTCGCATGATTGCTCAACGTTCCAAGGCGTATATCCTTGCGACAATTAGTAAGTACGAAACGACCTATCGCGCCGACCGCGCACGCTATAGCGGTAACGGACGGCTCGTGTGGCGAATGCACTTGGAGCTCATGGCACAACTAGCAAGTATCCGTGACGTGATCACGGCGCTGGTGCACATTGACTTGGAGGGTTACATTGCTGTACTTCGCCGCTATCGGGCGAGCATGCAACGCGTCTACGCCCTGGAAATGCACAAATTTTTCAAGTATGTACGGACCCACGTAAAGAAGGTTGGTCACCGCGGCCCGTTTCTTCTTGGTATGCGGGATTCCTCGGGTGAGACCCTCGCCAATCACATGGAGACAACAGAAGCTGGAGAGACACCGCTACGAGTGTGGGGGACGGGTAACAGCGTAGCTTCAACACCGGTTGCAAGTTTGTTGCGCACCCCAAATGGAGGCAACGGTGAAGAAGAAGAGGGAATGATATGCATTGAGTTGCCCACAGCTCGGGACGCAGGTTTGCGGCTTTACGATGTTGCAGACGCGTGTGAGGCGTCGGCTTCCGCTGCACGCAATTCCTCCCTATCATTGGCCTCTGGATGGACGGGCACTTCTGGTGGTAAGCTGCGGCCTGATTTGGCTCTTGCCATGGTGCTTGAGACAACTTTTAGTATTGTCCTGCAGGAGGAGGAGACCCTGCGGCAGTGTTTTGGGATTGTTGCGAAGGCCACAAAGGATGATAAGACGGGTGAGTTGCTTAGACCTTTCAATGAAAATGTACTGGCAACCTACGCGGAGGATGCAGCGAGGCTCTTGAACGATTCTTTGCTGGAGTTGTTCGGTGGCGACAAACTGGTGCAGTTCCCCCCGAGCACGGCGAATTTATATGACAGAAAAATGGCATTCTCTGACGCGGACGGGGGGGCTGACAGCCGCAGCAGCGGAAACGACGCCACGCAGGCGCAACAGGCGTGTTATTTGTTAAGGCAGCTTGTGGAGATCGCGGAGTTTTGCGGGGAGAAGTGCGATCGACTGTACGCCGTGCCGGTTATGGTCATGCTGCAAGCATACCGCTGTGAAGGTACCCCAACTTCGGAAAGCGTGTTTTGCCAGATGTTGCTTCAGGCCCTGGAGCCGGTCGTGGCGGCAACTGTTTCACGGAGTATCGCGGAGCAAACCGCCTCCATTGCCACCTGCCGCAAGCGCTACTTTGTACACCCTGGTGGGATGCTGAGTTGCTTCACAAAATTTCCGGCGTTCGTGCAGCGCATGGAGGCAGTGCACAACGCACTTCCACCGGCAGTCTGCGACCGCAGGAAGTACGCAGCTATTGCTTTGAGTTTTGTGGACCAGGCGTTTGAGGCACTAAACTACATTACGCACCTTGGTGGTGCCGAGGCGCGCAGTGGCACAAAGCTCAGTTTTCTAGAATCCATTGAGAAGCGGGCGGCGAAGTGGCTTGATGGACTGGACAACAACTCTGTCAAGCGTGGCATCATTCAGCAGTATCGCCACCATGCCTTTTTCTGTGCCTTTTACGCTTCTCTACCCGAAACAGCCTACGCCGTGGAGTTGCTACGGGAGCGATACGCTTCCTCTCGAACGCTGCTGGACCACTACGAGGAGGCCTACCTCACACGCATTCTCCTAGTGAAGAACTTCCCTGAGTTTGGCACCTTTGTGCTTGTAGCTGAGGACCTTGCCCAGATCCACTCACGCGAAGAGCTGCGGCACCACAACGCGCTTTCCGTTGAGGCCGTACGCCGTGTCTTGCGTTGCCTGCCGCAGGAGGTGCGCAGCGGCATTCCGTCCAGCTCTCGCCGCATGAAAAAACACTTTCTCCGCGATGTGACAGATCAAAAGGAGGAAGGGTCCTTTCATTGCACGCTTCTGCAGCGCCTCTGGCAGCATTTCTCCGCACTGCTTCTGCAGAAGATTGACTTTTTGAATGCGTTGCTCCGCTGGCCCATGTACACCGGAATGGAAATGACCGTCACACGAGCCGAGGTGTTGGCTCTACTGCAGGCTGCTTGACGCAACTCCTCCGCTGTTTGTTTGTATGGCAGACACCTGCATGTCTGCTCCACTGAATTTGCAGCATGTTTTTGTTGGTTCCTACTAATTCCTCCTCTGTCCCAGCCTTCGTTTTTTTTCTTCCTTTCTTTTCATTTTTGTGTTTGTCTGAGGTTGACTTTTGCATGCTTTTTTAGTTTATTTTTGTTTTCCCCCTCGCTTTCTTTCGTTTTTGTTTGGGTGTGGTTTCGCGTTCCTCGGTTTCCCCAGCAACGGGCCTTTTTCTTCGGGTTGCATTGGTGCCGTTGTCGTAGTTGAAGTCTCTCTTTTTGTGTGTGCGTTGTGGACTGGGTACATGGATGGCGGCGGCGGCGGCGACAAGGTGCTGCGCCGCGAGCTGGATGGCGCCAACCGCCTCGCAGAGTTCCGTCTGAAGAAAGTCATGGAACTGAGGGGCGAGGTGCTGCGCTTGCGCCGTCTCCTCCTCAGCGTGCAGGGCGGCAGCGAGGCTATGCAGCGGCGCGGTTCTACAAAAAGACGGGACGGATCTCTCGCCACGGCCACAGCAGCCAGAGTGGCGGCGGCGCGACCTTTGTGCCGCAGCGAAGCGATCTCCGTGTCACCTCCTCTGGCATCTGCAGCAATAGAATCGGAGGAAACGGGAGCAAAGCATCGGCGGCGGATGTCGTCATCGCCGCTGTCGTCAGTGCTTTCCACTGCCGCTGCCACGCAGGTGGCGTCGCCCGGGCCGCCTGTGTCGTCCGTGCCGTTGAGTGCAGTACGGGGGCTAAGCTGCGGCTTATCGCCCGCCACCCGACAGCAGCAGCAGCAGCAACCCACCGCAACGAAGGGCGGATCCCGGCGTCTGTCGTCGCTGTCGCTACGCACGCAGTCCGCCGCGGCACGACCGAAGCTGACATCTCGCCCATTTATTAAACTTCACACCGGCGTTGAGCTCCGCGGCCCAAGGACATTTACGCGCGCGCCCCCGCCGTTGTCCACGTCGCTTTGTGTGGTAGCGGCAGCGTCCAAAGCCACGCCGATGTCTGTGGTTGCTCTGGATGGAGCTTCTGCTGAAGTACTCACTCCGCCAATGTCACCGTCACCGTCGTCACGGTTGTACTCTTCTCTTGCTATTCGTCAAGAACGCGAAACTGTTCGGGAGGCCCTTGCTATGCTGCGTGGAATCATGCTGCTTGCCGACCGCAACATGCTTTCAACCCTCACAACGCTTAGCAACCGCCGCTGCATTGATCATGCCCTTCCCACCGCGCTAGCAGAGTTTAAGCAGTGTTTGTTGCGTGTTCATCCGTTGTTGGGCGGCAAGCTGCGTGAGGGTGAGGCGTGGCACATTGATGAGGATGAGAGAGATGCGTTAGAGGTGGTGGAGGCGCCTGGCATGGCGGCCGCACTGCGGGACCTTGTTGTCACACACGACTACACAGCATGCGTCTATCAGCAGGTGCTTCATCAGGATGACGGCATGATAGGCATGAGACTCGGAAAGGCATTTCATGAGGTCTACGCAAACGTGTATGTGCTGCTCGCCCTGGCACAGTGCCCCGCCGCGCTCCGTTAATGCACCTGTGCGAGGATGATTTGTGATATGCTGTGTGTGTGTGTGTGATGTGGTAGGAAAAAAAAGAAAAAACATAAATCTGATGGAGAAAAAAAAATAGAATAAAATAGAATAAATTTCCTTTTTGCTCTCTGTGAAAAGGAGCAACACCAACTACCACTACAAGTGCAAGGAGGCAGTAAGTTTTCCATGTAGCCGACCCCGCACTCTCTCGTTCTGGCGCGTTTACGCATAAATACATACATGCAGACTCTTTCTCTTTTTCTCTCACCCTCTTCACTCAACTTGTACGCTGCCACAACACGCCAGCAGAGGACAGGTGCAAGCGGGCAGCCGTGGTGTTGAGTTAGTTGCGGGTTGGAAAACGGTTAGCAGAGGGTGCGAATGCGGCGTTGTACTTTGCACCGTGCCAGTTTTCAGATTCCGTCCAGCGAGAAGCGTGAGGGTCAAATCATCCTCAACCGCTTTCGCAGAAATTGTAAGGACAGAAACAGTCTTCGTTGGCTGCCGCGCGCCGTCACCGCCAGCCGTCTGCAGTCTTAGGTTGCGGTTGGCGGTATTCTGTTGGGCGCGACTGTCTTCATTGGTCCGTGGCTCGTCGACGAATACCGCGAGCTGCTCGGGTACAAGTTTGTGCCGGTGCCACTGCCTGCGGTGCCGCACACCTCTCCGGCGTGGTGGGAGAACGAGTGGCGCAAAGGCAACCCACTGTGGCGTACTGGGGAGTCGACAAGTAAGTTTTACCGCGGCCCATTTGACTTTGTGCGTGCTGCGACTGGGCGGAGCATGTACGACGGTGGTGCCTTAAGGAAGGGGTAGGGGGTGGGCCGGCGCCCCCGCGCCCTCGTGCCTCTCTGTGGTGACTCACCATCGTGAAGTAGCTCGCTGTGCGCGGGTTCGAGGTGAACGCTGTGGATGCGTCCGAGACGGCGATGCGGGCCTGTGTGTAGCGCACCAAGCGGGCGCTCCCCCTCGACGCCCACAAACGCGTTCATTTGCACTGGCGCGACATATTTGCCTCAGGGCTTTGGGAGGGCACCCTGCGGGGCGTGAAGTTTGACGTCATCTACGAGCGGCAGGTGATGACCTCACTGAACCGCGATCAGCGTGAGGACTACGCCTACTTGATGAAGCAGGCACTCGCGGAGGACGGGGTGATGTACGTGGAGGGCATCTTCCACACCGGCCGGGTGCAGGGCAGCACGGTGCATGGGCCCCCCTTCGCGTTGTCGCAGCGGGAGCTGAAGCGTCTCTTCCCAGAAAAAGACGGCTTTTTGGTGCGCTGCAAGGAAACTAATGATGCCATAACGAAGCTGAGCCGCGAAAATCGCATTCTGCAACGGATCCCGAAGGAGTTGTACGCTACACCGTTTCACTGCGCGGTGTTTCAAGTGAGGAGCGTTGATGCGGCGGCGGTGACACTCCCATGAGTTCGATAGTACACCCCCGCCTCCACATGTACTCTTATGCGTGGTGAGCGTTCACACGTTGTATCATACCGTATTTTGCCCACGTCAACACACAGACACGCACATACAAAAGACATAGCTACATGCGTACAAATATGTGTTCAAAGGAAGTGTGCCTTAGCCACTTTTTTTTCCTTCCACCCTCTCACACATGCACACACTCCCTGCCTGCCTGCCTGCCTGTTTGCCATTTTGTAGTATGGATTGTTTTTACCTTCCCTTTGACTTTCTTTAATACTTTTTTTTTGTCTTACATGCCTTTTCGGTGCTAATGCAAGAAGAAGCAAAACACGACACCGTTAGGCTAGGAGGATGCGTTGTATACTGCGGCCTTGCCTGCATCATCATCACCGTCAGTTGCAGCAGCGCGTTGCAGCCTTCGCCGTGCCGAGGGCCGCTACGACTGCCGCTGCCCTTCTAGTCGGCGTGCGTCACCAAGGCAACTCACTCATCGGCACCATTCATGGTGGGGAGTTGTCGCTTCCGAGTGATCCACAGGGCGGCTCGCAGCTCTCCGCGCGCAATATAGCGGTGGAGGCGCTTCAGATGAAAAAACTGCATCAGGAGCGGGGCGGCAACCCAATGCTTGCGCAACAGGCCCGCCGTGTGCTCTTCGCCACGTCCATCGCTGGTCAGAGCCTCGACGCCCGCTCTGTCGCCCTGCTGCTCAACACTGCCGTTTACTTTGGCATGGAGAGTGACGCGAAGCTCGTGCGGGAGTGCATTGACTACTGTCTGAAGAACGACAAACTCATCACCGTCGACGTGCTGCCCATTGTCGTCACTGCCTGCGCCACCCTCAAGTCGCGCGACGCCCGAGAGGTGATTGAGATGCAGGCGCAGAAGGCCTCCCGCAACGCGAAGTACTTGGATGCCAAGGGTGTCGCGAACATCATCAGCGCCTTCTCCAAAACTGGCATCAACCACGAGAAGCTTTTTGGATTTCTGTCGAAGCGCGTGCAGACTCTCGCGCGCGTGGGGGAGTTTGAGGCGGCGCATCTTGTCATCATAGCGAATGCCTTCTCGCGGCTGCGGTACCGTGATAAATTTGTCTTTGGCGCCATCGCCCGTCGCGCCATGTCGCTGCGGGAGCGCGTCACGGTGAACGAGCTTGTGCCCCTCATCGTCGCCTTTTCAAAGATTGGGCTGAAGGACCCGAAGCTCAGCAAGCGCTTCGCCACCAAGGCGATGGAGTACGTTGACCAGATGAACGCGGAGCAGGTGGCGAGCATGTTTATGGCCTTTGCCTACTTTGGCATCCGCTACGACCAGCTTTTTGGGGTTCTCACAAACCGCGCGGTGGAGCTCATTGACGAGTTCAACGCGCAGTACATCAGCACCACCCTTAACGCCTTCCAGCGCATTGGCATCAACAACCCGGAGCTCTTTGACAACTTGGCCGAGAGGGCCCTGGCGGTGGTGCAGGACCACGACGCCCGCGATATTTCCAAGACGATTACTGCCCTCGCCCACTTCGGCCTGAAGGACGAGGAGCTTTTTAAGCGCCTCGCCTCACACGCCGCGAGCATCGCCGATCAGTTTGATGCGATGGGACTTGTGAACACCGCCCACGCCTTTGCTCGAACCAACTTCCTGCAGCAGGACATGGCGGTTGCCCTCTCCGAGCGCAGCGTCTACGTTTGCCGCCAAATTGATGCGGGTGAGGCGCGCCGGCTGCTGTGGTCCCTCGCAAAGTTTCAAGTGCGTGACCCGAAGATTTTGACGCCTGCCTTTAACCGCTGCCTTGCGCTGCACCAAGACTTCTTCTCTGACCCCACTGGCAGTGAGGAGATTGAGGAGATCTTTGACATCTACGGCCCCAACTTTTGTCCACCGCTATACCAGCTGTACGTTTCCCGTGGGTCCGCGCCACAGATGTGAGACGCTGCAGTTGACGCCGCAGGACATCTTTGACGCACGGCGGCTGCTTTCACTGCGATGGGTTGCACCCCCCCCCCCCCCCACCACCACACACACATACACATACACTGCTAACACTGCTACTCTCTGTTGCACGTTCATGTGTCTTGTCGCGTGTTCACAGATGCCATGATGACCTCCTTGACTGGGAAAGGCGATGAAGGCGGTCGTTTTTTTTCTCTTATAAAGAAGGGAACTGGCCGAAAACGAACAAAAGAAGACGATTGTGGGCGGCAAGGATCTTGTTTTTCTTCTGCCCATGCCCCTTCCTCTCCCCTTGATATATATCTCTCGATGGTGCAACACGACAGGGATGTTAGTAGTGGGGCGCAGGCGCATCTGATTCTCTCGGTGTTTGTGTATGTGTATGTTGTGGATTTTTTTTTCCATAATATATATATATATATATATATATATTACACGGACAAGTTCGGGAATACACAAAGGTACGCAGTCACACAAACGCATACAGACGTGTCCACAGACACACATGACTGTTGCCTATTACCTGTCAGATAACGTTATGGATCGCGCGACCGGGGGGGGGGGGGAGGGGGGATTCGGACGTTTTCACACTATTTCACCTTTTTCTTTCTTTCTTTAATCCTTCACACCCATACCTCATTTATACACACACACACACACACACACACTGCATTTGCCTACAGCCATTATGTTGAACAAGAAGAAGAATGCTGTGGATGAGGAGGAGGCAGGCATGACAGTGCGTCAGCGCCTGCGGCAGAAGCGCGAATTAGAGGAGAAGCGGAAGTTTGGCCTCGCACCGCTCGCCGTGGACGAAGTTTTGGGTAACGAGATTAGCCCGAATGTACCGCAGCTCATCTCGCAGGCCCCGTGGTACTACGGCACATCTGGCCCCACGCTTGACCACCAGCGCCTGAAACGCGAGGATACGATGGACAGGCTTCAGGACAAACACGACAAGGTCGTTGTGCTCGGAAAAGCAAAGACGTACACTGCAGGGGCCTGCTGCAACTGCGGTTCCAGCACGCACAAGACAAGCGACTGCTACAAACCGCGCAAGAAGGTAGGCGCCAGGTACAGCGGAAAGGTAACGGCGGTCGACATGCAGGTGGAGCGGGTGGATAAAAGTTACGCCCAAAAGCGTGAACGATACGCCATGGGCGCGGGTGTTGACTTGCTGCAGCAAGCACAGCAGGAGGAGGGAGAGGAAGAAACGCGGGCGGAGAGCAGACTTGAGGGCAACGGCGAGACGGTGAAAAAGTGCCCGCGTCTGCAGGATCTTTTTGCGACGCAAACGGCAGTGACAGGCGGCGGGGTGGAAATCAAAGAGCTGCCGAAGCACCTGCACAACCTCGACGACGACGGCGTACTGTTCGATCCAAAGACGGGGTCAATGCGTGGGAACCCGAACGCGGCGGATCCAACTCGAGCATTTCAGGGCGACCTTCAGCGCTACCGCACGGGTGACTACTACACATACCTTGATATGCAGCTGCGGTTTCTGAACGGTGAGTCGAAGTCTATTGTTGACTTTGGGCTGGACGAGCAGCTGCAGAAGCAGAAGCGACAAGAGCAGCAGCAAAAGGGCGAGGGTGACCGCAATGACAGCCGCGTCCGTACGGAGGAGGAAACGACGCGGGATCGATTGGTGCGATCACTCTACGGTGACTCCACATTAGCCTCTGCAGAAAGTTTGCTACGCATGAAGGAGGCAATTGTCAGTGTGGCTGCTGCTGCGTCGTCCTCTTCCACGCCAATGACGCTTCCTCACCCTCGTATGCTATCTGCGACGCGCAACGGCCATACCTGCGTCTACGGCAGTTACTTTGACCGTGATGGGTTCCGATGGGGGTACAAGTGCTGCAAGCGCCTTGGAAAGGATGCTGTGGCATGCCAATCAAAACAAGCAGAAACAGCCGTGGCCACAAAGGCAGAGGGGTGTAGTTTGGGCGAAGCATCGTGAAGAGTGGTATGCGTTTTTACTTTATCCTCTCCTCCTTGCGTGTTTGCCTTCTCTGCTCGTCTGGGAGTGTATGTCTTTTTCCTGCCGTCCGGTTCTCGTACAAGGGCCGATGCCCGTCCCATATACGCCTCTACACATGGAAGGTAGGGGGACGCCAGCCTCTCCGGATGTGTTCGTGTTTTTAATTGTCTGTATTATTTTCTTTCTCTACATTATCCCTCCGTTTACTTTTTTTTTTGCCACCTGTGCGTAGGTGCCACGCTCGTGAAGGGCGAGGAAAAGTGTATAGAGAAGCTGGAACAAGAACATTTCGCAAGCGAACAGTACAAACTCGTGGACGTTCAGGCACAGCCGTGGGGTGCGTAGAGTGGTGAAACGGAATTAGGAACAACATCAAAAACAAAAATAAATTACACACACAAAGAAATTAGGAATAACTGAGTGAGGCAAGTAGGTGGTGCGAGGAAAAGGGACGGAGGGAGAGCCATGTATGTGTACTTTAGCAAGCGTGTTGCAGTACCGGCGAGTACAGTTGTCACAGCTATCGCGTGGAATGAGGAGCAGGGCTGGCTGGCCTGCGGCGGCAAGGGCGGGCTGCTGAAGGTGCTGAAAATTGATAACGGCGCGGGGACGAAGGGGGCACTTTCGATGAATCAAACACTCGAAGGGCACTCGGCGGACGTGCGGGTTGTGGCCTGGAACCACCAATACGGCAAGCTCGCCTCCAGCGATGAGGGTGGCCAGATCATTGTATGGGCACTGCACAAAGGCATGTGGATGGAGGAGATGATAAACAACCGCAACAAAGGTACCGTGTCGGACCTTGCCTGGAACACTGAGGGCACGAAGATCTGCATCATCTACGCGGATGGCGCCGTCATTGTGGGTGGTGTTGACGGCACCCGGATTTGGGGAAAAGACATTAAAAATGAACTCGTGAAGGTGACCTGGAGCCCGGACGACCGCTGCATTCTTTTTGGCACCAAAACCGGGGAGATACTCGTGCACGACGGCGACTGTGGGCATATGGTGTGCCGAGTGCAGGAAACCTCCATGGAGGGTGAGGCGCCACTCACCGGTTTGTCCTGGCATCCCGCGTGGGTGGACAGTCCGGAGCCTCTTGCCACACTTGTCATCTGCTTCGCGAATGGCAAGATGCAGTTGATGCGCGAAATCGGTGACAACCATCCTTACCTCATCGACAGCGGAATTCCTGTCTCCAGCGTCGCCTGGAACCCACAAGGGACGATATTTGTAGTCTGCGGTGTGATGTCGACCGCAGCGATGTTGGGTGAAGCCTCGCCGTCTTCATCATCCTCATCGACGGTGTCGGCGCAATTCTTCAATACGGAGGGTATTCACCTGCGCACACTGCGCGTTAATGGGAGTCACTGCGGTGGAGTCACGTGGGAAGGTGATGGCCTTCGCGTCTGCGTTGCAGTTGACGCTGCGTTGTACTTTGCGAATGTACGACCCACGCACAACTATGCGTACTTCGCCAAAACCGTGGTGTTTGCCTTCCACAGGCCCGATCGTGCAGAGCAAGGCGTTATGTTTTGGAACACGCGAAGCAACGAACGCGTCATCCGCTACTTCCGTGGGCTCTTTTACATTGATGCCTGCAAGGACGCTTGCATGATCGTCAACTCTTCGGGTGACGGACGCCACCGCGTCATACAACTCTTGAACGCCATTGGGGGTCCCTTGGAAACGCGGATGATTGAGATGGAACCGCTTGCCTGCGGTATGAACTCCGAAAACATTGTGCTGGCTGACGAGGAGAACATTTACGTCTGGCAGTTCCGCGACCCAGGCGTCGTTCTGGACTTGCTGGACCCCATCTCTGTTCAGGCGAGTCGCCATGACACACGTGAGCGTGTGGTGCATGTTGACGACATTGTCCGTCCTGACACGCCACCCTCGCTTCTTAGCCACACCGCTGTCACGAATGATCTTGTCTGCTCACTTTGCCTTAGTGAAGACTTTCTTTTCGTCGTTCGTGAGTCGGGGCTGCTGCAGTTGTATCGCTTAGCCCCGTTAGAGCTTGTGGGCAAAATGATTTTGCCCTTCCGCGTACAGTCCATGGCGGCCAACTCGAATTCCACTCGCCTCTCGGTGTGTGATGTGGGTGGTACCATGACACTCTTTTACATTGATCTCACGAATCTCTCGTTGGTGCCCAAAAAAGTCTCCCCACAGCCCAACTTTGAGCGCAAGGATGTATGGAGCATGCGCTGGTCGAAAGACGATCCGGAGCTTCTTGTCGTGATGGAGAAGTCCCGCATGTACATTTTCCGTGGCATTGAAGCGGAGGAGCCAGTCCAGTCTTGTGCCTACATTTGCAAATTCAAGTCCTTCAAGGTGCGTGCACTGCAGCTGGACGAGATCATGCAGGACCCGGAGAGACCCCGCAAGGAACACGTTATCGACTTTGAAACACGGGAGCTGCGAGAGGCGCGGCAGGCGGTGGAAATCATGTCGATGCAGGAGGCCTACACGTACGTGGAGAAACATCCGCACCCAAAGCTGTGGGCATTACTCGCTGAGCACGCACTGGCGAAGCTTGACTTTGATCACGCGGAGATGGCGGTCGTCCGCAGCGGTAACTACCCGGCCATACAATTTGTGAAGCGCGTCAAAATGCTTGACGACCCGCAGAAGCAGCGGGCGGAGATCCACACCTACTACGGCCGTTTCGACGAGGCGGAGAAGATTTACAAGGACATTGACCGCAAAGACCTCATGCTTGATCTCCGCTACCGTCTCGGGGACTGGTTCCGTGTTGTGCAGCTTGTCCAGGAGGGTGGCGGGGACGAGTCACACATGCGGCAGGCGTGGGAAAACATTGGTGACTACTACGCCGACCGACAGAAGTGGACGAAGGCCTCTCAGTATTACACACAGTGTCGGCAGCTGCACAAACTCGCTCACATTCTTTTTTTGCTGGAGGACTATGACTTCCTCGCCCAACTCATCCCAAGCGCGGAGCACGACAAGGGGCTGCTTCTCAAGATTGGCGAGATGTTGTTTTCCGTCGGCCTCAGTGAGGATGCATCACGCGCGTTCCTCGCAGCAGGCGAGGCGCAGTTAGCGGTTGCCGGGTGTGTGCAGCTGCACCAGTGGGATAACGCCGTGGCGATTGCAGAGGCGCATAAGCTCAAGGACATTTTGCCGCAGCTTGCGCGTCACACGAAGAGTCTTATTGAGAATGAACGGCTTCCAGAGGCGATTGAGCTATACCGCAAGGCGGGCCAGCACGATGAGGCGGCGCGACTGCTTGCGCGTCTTGGGCGACGGGCTGCCGCCACAGACCCGTTGCGGGCCAAAAAGTTTTATGTGCTCTCTGCACTAGAAATAGAGAAGTACCGCAGGAAGAGGGCTACACTGAGCGGCGACGGCACAGCCGCCGTGGACATGCTGCTGAGTGAGGAGCGAGCTGCAACGTCTGAGCGGGTGTTGGACGCGGCTTGGCGCGGCGCCGAGGCATTTCACTTTTTCCTGCTCTGCCAACAACACATCCTGCACCGCAATCTGCCGTACGCCCTGAATGTGGCAATGCGGCTGATGGAGTACGATGATCTTATCAGTCCAGTTGATAGCTACCGCCTCATTGCCCTCACAGCGTACCTGGCAAAGAATTTTAGCATATGTAGCAAGGCGTTTACGCGCCTAGAAGCGGCGGAACAGATGGATGTACAAAAACAAAACGAGGAGGATGGGGGAGGCCCCGCGGTGGCCGGCCAGCTGCAATTGATTGACATGACAGTCGATCTCGATGTCTCCAGCAGAACCTTTGCTGCACAACGTAGCCGTGTCGCCATGACTGGCCTGGCAGGTGCAGTTTCCACAGGGATAAGCGGCACCACGACGTCATTGCAGCTGACTAACCCCTCGAAGGGAGTGGTGCCTGCGACGCAGTTTACCTACCCGACCGTAAGCCTGAAGGAGCCACGCCGTCGATTTGCTGATCTCGCGGTGAAAATTTTTACGAAATATAAGCCGGAGGACAACTCCGCGGATCGTGTGAAGTGCCCTAAGTGTGACACCTTCAACAAGGAGTGGGCCTCCGCGTGTGCTCACTGCCAGCATCCGTTTGGTATTTGCATCTTCACTGGACGCTGCATCACAACGGAGGATTTCTGGCAGTGTGCGGTTTGCCACCACCGCATCATTGAAGTGGAGGGTGACCGCTTCCGCAACTGCCCTCTTTGCCACACACCAATAAAGCACAGGGCCCGGAGTTAGAGCTGGGAGAGGGCGGAACTCCACGCCCTCCGTACGGCGTATGTATTTTTTACTGTTACAGTTGCATTCTCCGCCGACGCAGATGCCTTCCTTGGTACCTGGGTGAAGGACAAGGTTAACGGTGAATGAACCAACTCACCACAACAATTCCCTCATCCAAGAAGGTAATGACTCAATATGAAAAGGAAAAGGGGAAAAAACGCATTTTATTTTTTCCAAGTAGAAAGTACGAACAAAAAAAAATGCCTCACGTTTTGATCCTGAGCATATGCCATCACTCCAACATGTTTTTTGTTTGTTTGTTGGTTTGCTTGTTTGTTTTATATCTTCATTATATTTCGGGCTTCTTTGACGATGTGTGTGGCTGCCATAGTTATTAGTGGCTGATTTAGTTGGGCTCTCAAGGAGGGGGCACCACAAGAACCGCAATAGTAGGGAACAGAACGACGACAAAGGGAGTGAGATAGAGCGAGGGAGGTTAAACGGCGGAGTATACGTGATGCTGCGCCGAACTTCACGTCGCTTTGTAAGTGCCAAACAATTCTTTGGAACCGAAGGGCAACCAATAGAGCCGTATACTGCGAAGTCGCTTTTTCTGTTTAGCTTTATAGCCTCCATCGCGTTCCTGTCGGTGTTTAGTGTGAAAGAAACAAAGAAGGCAGGCCCACTTGAGATGCCGGACGAGCTGGAGGCGGAAAAACGCCGTAAGAATGATCCACGCCGCCCACCGTGGCCCCTGCTACATCAACGTGTCGTTCTTTTGCGTGAGGGAAAGGCGCCACACGATGATCTGCCTCTCTTGTGGGAACAGACACGGCATTATTACCCTGCCGACTGGCTTGTGCCGCTTGAGGTCACGCAGGTGCTGAAGTACACAAGTGGGGCGTACCTGCAAAACTACGTGGCTGACCCGGATCAGCTTCGCAAGGATGTTTTAATGCAGCTGCTCAACGTCAAGTATGGGCGCGTGAAGGACCCTAACGGAGGGCGCATTAACCGTGATGTGGAGGAGATCATCTCCATAGCAATAGAGGATCTGGAGAATATGGACCTTAGCCCCTCCGCGGACGCAGCGCTAGTGCCTACGCACACTTAAGGTAGACTGGACGGAACTTGCAACCGCAGAAGGCTAGATGAGGTGTTACATGTAGATTTCGTTTTTTTTTTTTTTTTTTAGGGTAGAGGGGGGCTGCAGCCGTGGTGTAGTTCTGCATGAGTGAGTGGTAGGAGATAGGCGTGGAATTGCCGCAGAGGCAATGAAAGTTGTTGGAGCGCAGAATCAACGCCACTCAAGATGTCCAGTCTCCGCTGCTGCTTTCCCTTCACGCACAACTGTGCGGAGAAGACGAAATATCTTGTGTACATCATTTATTTACTTCTTTATTTTCCTCTTTTTGTTTTTCTTGTTTTATGTTGCTTTACGTGCAGTTCTGCAACGTGTGAAGACCGGAAGCAGATATGCCGGAGGCGCATGGGGACCTTGTTCTTCTTCCACGTGTCTTGGCGCGTGCCTTCCGTTGCCTGCAGGATGTGCCCATTATGCACTTTGTGGAAGTAATCAAAGTCAACCGCCGTGGAAAGCGTCAACAACGTTTTTTTGTCATCACCCCCACGCACCTATACTCCTGTGTGGAGAATGGCACCATTCAGCGCTGCGTGCCGACGAGGAGCGTGGCGGAGGTGCACACGTGGGACGGTGAGCTGCCGCAAGTAGGGCTAAAGATCCCATCCGAGTACGACATGCTCTTTTTCATGAAGTCCGGTGCCGATGTGGCGGGAGTCGTGGCGGCGCTGCAGTCTGCCACCCGTGATGCTGCGAGCGGCGGTAGCGATCGTGGCGAGTTTTGCCTTGTGGGGGCGACGGAGGCGCTGAGCGCGGCGGCGTATGCTCTGGAGCGGCCGAAGTGGTTTGAGCAGGGGATTTCCCGCACGCTTGACTGGTCGGTGGGGGGCGTCGGGGAGGTGCCCGCTGTGGGGACGAGCTACGGCGTGCATCGGCCGTTTGTTTCCGCCAACACGGAGGGTCTGTTTCTGCGCGCACCAACGGCTGCGGCCGCCGTGTCTTCGTTGCCGCCCTTGTTTGTGGCCACAGGAGGAGTGACGTCGCCGTACCGGGGGGAAACTCCCCTGCCAGGTTCGTTACAGGGCACGCGGTGCCTCAGTCACGATTATAGCGCTGACGACGTGGCAGACGCCGCCGCTTCTTTCTTTGTATCTCCCAACTCTTTCCACGTCGAGTCCGTAGAAGTGGGGGTGGGACAGAGGACGACGGAGGTGGAGACGCGGAAGCAAACAGCAGCCACGTCAGTTGTGTCTAATAGCCACCACGACTACAGCGCAAGTGGCACAGCTGCTGTCGTGGCGGCGGAGCAGGCACTGTGGGAGCAACGGCGTCAAATGCAGGCGGAGAGGGAGCTGTGGTGCCTGCTGCTCGCCGCTGAGAGGCGCAACACGTACCGCCTACGCCAGGCGATATCAGACTTGCGTGGGCAGGTGCTCGCACTCTCTTCTCAGAACCTTGCCATGCGCACAGAGTTGCTCAGCCAGCGTGTTACTTGAGACTCAAGGAGGAGTGGTTCAATTAGTGGTAGCAACCATAGAGGCCAACCAACAACGGAGGAGGGGAAAATTTGTTGTTGTTGATGGTGGTGGGTGGCTGGGTGTGTATCGTTATTTTTGACCCATCTTTTCTGCTGTGCGGGTGGAGTTTTTTTTTTGTTTAATGATCTTATTGACGTGTATTTTCTCCTATTACTATTTTTTTTTATTTTTTTTCCTTTTTGCTTTCTCCTGCTTGCTGTGGAAGTGTACGACATAACGTTATCCCCAGAATAAGGATTCAAATGCCAAAGAAAGCCGCAGCCGTCGAGAAGGCTTCTCCAGCCAAGGGTGCTTCTGCACCTAATAAAGTGCCCACGGGCAGGAGGGCCGCGACAGCCAAGAAGGTCTCTGCTTCCACCGTCAAGAAGACAGTGAAGACGAACTCCCTCAAGGGCCGAAGTTCGCCCGCGGCCGTCGTGACACCGCCTTCCGTTGTCACAAATGCGGATGGCAACTTAGTGACATCGGCGGGTGGTGATAATGGAGGGCTGCGTCAGCGCATGCTTCAGAAGGGCCGAGGTGTTGTGGACGTACTTTCAGGGAAGGTGGGCATGTGCCACGTGTACGAACATTGCGGTGAGGTGTACCAGTGCACTTTGAACCAAACTCATGTTTCTGCCAACAAAAATAAGTACTTTATTCTGCAGTTGTTGCAGGATGACCATGGCTCCAAGTGCCACGTCTTCACGCGCTGGGGTCGTGTGGGCTACCGCGGTCAGAGCAACACAGAGGAGTTTTTTGATGCTGCGCATGCGATGAGGGTATTTCACGCGAAGTTCGCTAGCAAGACTGGAAACTCTTGGTCGAATCGGGCCCATTTCTCAAAGGTTGAGGGACGGTATGAGCTGATGGACATTGACTATGGGGCGGCGGCGGAGGAGGAGCAGAAGCAGGAAACGATGGAGCGAAATGGAGAGCCGGTGGCATCTGTGCTTCCAACCGAACTGCAGGACCTCATGAAACTCATCGGCTCCGAGAGCCAGATGATGTACGTGATGCGGGAGTTCGAGATTAACACGGAGAGAATGCCCTTGGGGAAAATCTCCAAGGTACAAATCACGCGCGCGTACCAAGTACTGAGGTCACTGGAGGCTGAGATGAAGAAAGGAGCTCCACAGCTGGAGCAGCTGTCAAACCAATTCTACACGCTGATCCCACACGCCCTTGGTGTCCGTCGGCCACCCATCATCGATTCGGACGACATGTTGCGGAAAAAGATGGAGATGCTGGAGACATTGGGCAAACTGGAGATCGCGGTCTCTATCCTTAGCGCTGAGGTTTCAGAGGAACTTCACCCCGATGACAAGCTTTATCGCAGCCTGAAATGTGAACTGAAACCTCTGGCCAGAGACGACCCTAACTTCCGACGCATCGAGGAGTACGCACGCAATACGCATGGCCCGAGTCACAAGTTTAGAGTTGAGGTGACACAGGTCTTCACAGTTCGGCGTGAGGGTGAGGAGGAGCGATATTCAGCCTTCAAGAAGCTTGGCAATCGGCAAATGTTGTGGCATGGCTCACGTATCACGAATTTCATCGGTATTCTCGCCCAGGGCCTGCGCATTGCCCCACCAGAGGCTCCGTGCACCGGATACATGTTTGGTAAAGGGATATACCTGGCGGATGTGTGCACGAAGTCGGCAAGCTACTGCTATCCGGCGGAGGACACTAACATTGGACTCATACTGCTCTGCGAGGCTGCGCTGGGGAAACAGAGCAAGCTGACTGCGGCGGCGTACATGGAAAAGCCAATGCGGGGGACAAACGCGACAAAAGGTGTGGGAACCTTCTTCCCTGATCCAGACGGCGCAGAAGTGGTGGATGGCGTGCTGTGGCCGAAAGGTCGCTTGAAGGAGGAGAGGACTTCCTCTTCGCTAATCTACCCCGAACACATCATCTATGACGTTGAACAGTGCAAAATAAGCTACTTGGTTCAAGTGAAGATTTACCGTTAGCAGTCTTGGTGTGCCCACCCATTCTTCTTTAATGCTTTCTTTTCCAGTTTTTTTTTCTTTTTTTCGTTTATCCCTCCCCTCCCTTATTTTGCGTCAGCTTTTTTTGGTATGGTCTCCAACTTTTTTTGTTTGTGCTGGCAATACATTATGGTTTTTGGCGTGATATTTGTTTCAATCGTTTTTCGGTGTGGATGTCAAGAGAATAAATTATATATGTATATATATATTGTTGCTGCTGTTCCAGTGTTATAGTAGACGCTGTTCTATCCCGCCTTTGTCCCGGCGCAGAGCGGCTGGACGGACGGGCTCGGCAGAAAACTCATGATTGCGTCTCCATCATGCGTCGTGGAACATGAAATTCTTTTTTTTTTTTGTTTTGCTGTTGCTGATACAAACTCCTTTGCTTCACGTTGACAACACACACACACACACACACACGGGGCAGGGGTAAGGCGGGGTGGGGAATGATGTCGGTTCTTCGCCCAGTGAGGGATACGGCAGTGGAGCTGCCGTGGAAGTTGCTTGTTGCCGCCGCACAGCCGTATCAAACGATCTCGGGGCCTGCGCTTTCTGTGAACTTCCTCCAGCAGTCAAACCTTATGTCGTTTCAGCGCCTCCCTTTTCATCACTGCGGTGTCTCGGGCCGGTACTACCACTCGCTTCTGCATAGCCTTGCGGAGTTTGCGACAACACCGAGGCCTGTGCGTGACAGCCACGTGAATATGCTGCATGCCCCCATGGAGGACTTTTGGCGAGCTGTGGGGGTTCTTAATTGCGTATACCTCACACACTATTTTCCGTTTATTCAGGAGCATCCGGCAATGGGGGCAGTAGAGTTGGCGCTGCCGTCGCACCGCAAGCAGAAGGATCTGCGTTTGTCGCTTTACAGTGGCACGCACCAGCCCATATCTACGATGCTTCTTACAGGCTCTTATAGTGGCGTGCTTGTAGGGCGAGAGGATGATCTTGTGACGCCGCTGCCTCACAGCGACCAGGATGAGGAGTCGTTGAGGCTTGCAACTACTGGGGAAGTGCGGCAGTTGGCTGACGGATCGATCCTGCAAAAGGCAATCTTCACGAATGTCGGGCAACAGAGCAGCGATGTGGTTTCACCGTGGCGGCTGGATGCTTGCGTCGCCGAGTTTTGTCAAATACTGGCGTCCGCAGGCCTGCTGGCGCCACATGTCACCAGTGAGAGGAACCGCGTGTGGACCATCGTCGCCCAGCAGGCATTGACCCACGGGGAACTTTTGACCGATGCGCCGTTTGATGTTGTAAGCGCCATACCTCGTGTTTTTGCAACGTATCGTATGCCGCCGTGGCGTCATCGCATTGGATTGCCATCGTTCAGCGGTGAACAGCAGCCGCTGTGTGTTGCGTTGCGTGTGGAACTGCGACAAGACGGTCGCACGTTAGTGGTGGGGACGTACTTTCTTGTGGAGGTGGAGGGACGTATGGGATAACTTTCTTTCGTGTGTGTTTCTCTTTCTTTCGCTGGCTCGTTACCACTGTGATAGGTGCCGCTTCCGTTTTTTTTTTTTTTGCTGCCCGCAGTACTTATTATGCTCTCATCATTATTGTTTCCTTCTTTTTTTTTGTTCCCTCTTCCTCGCACTTCTGTTGTGGTGTGCCGCGTTCGTTGCATTGATAGGTTGTTGTTGCGGTGTATCCTTCTGCGGGTGAAACCCTTCACTCCTCTGCCCCGCGTCTCCCTCGATTTCCGCTGTGGGTCTGTTTCCTCCGGCTGCAAAGGCGATACGTCAGAGTGTAGGAGAACGTGTGGCATCTTGACCACATTTGCAGTGTAGCTCACACCGGCCTTGGCTGCTGGGTGGCGGGAGGAGCAACCGGGCGTGCCTACGTGTGAGGGTGGCGGACAAGGAGTGGGGGCTGAGTTAGGTGGATAGAGCGACGATAGCAAAGTGACCATAGAAAACAGGCGAGGGCTGCAACCAAACGAGGGCATACAACAATGCCTAAACATCGGAAAGGCAGTCGTGGGGTTGAAGCGAGGGGCATCAGCAACTTCCTGTACGAGTGGCAAAGTGAAGCAACAAGCGCTGCCCGGCGGCCCTACGCGCCCCGGAGATATGTTGATCCCGCTGTGCTGAAGCGTGCGTACATGCTGCATAACTTTCAGTTTGTGCTTCGGCCTGACGCTTACGAGATGAGGCTGACACCGGGGCTTCCGCGGGGAAACTGGAGGTTGAGCAACGTGCTTTACTCAAGCGATGCGGCACCGCCGTGGGACGCTGTCACCGCTGTCGTGGTGCGTTGCACGATCGACCAATTTCAGTGTCCTATTTGTCTTGAAGCGCCAACGGCCGCGCGGGTTGCCGACTGCGGCCACGTCGTTTGCCTCCCCTGCATGTCGCAGTACTTATCGATGCTCAAGCAGGAAAATAAGCAACGCACCTGTCCGGTGTGTCACAACTTTGTGACACTGAACATGCTTCGGCCGTGCATATTTCGACCAGTTGAACTCTTATATTGCGGTAACCGTGTCAGTTTCACCTTGCTTAGGCGACGCGGGGGTTGCTGCGTGCTGCTGCGACACGATGACACCCGCTGGGGTGACACGGCACCGCTGGAGGAGGAGTTGCCGCTGCCCTACCCGCAGGAACCATCGGCAACGTTCAGCAGGTACATACTCGCCACAGCGGAGAGCGAAAATACGCAGCGACGCCTCGATTGCACAGCCATAATGGATCAGCTGAGTCAACTCAATGCACAGCCCAGACCATTGTCGCAGTTTGACGACGCGGTTCTGTACTTTGCTGAGAAGGCGCTTGAAATGGTGCTCCAGGAGGGCGACTCTCAGTCCCTGCACACAACCACGCGCAACTCGCCTCCGATCGCCCCGAAGCACCCAAACTTGGATGGAGAAAAAATGTATTATTTGTACGGCGAGTCGGAGGGGCGGCCGTATTACATGCACCCTGTCTCTTTCAAAATGTTGCGAGATGATGCTAACACTCGTGGGACACCGCTGCTGGGCACTGTGGAGGCCCCAGTGGATGAAATTGTGTCCTTTACGCAGGATGAGGCGTCCAGGAAACATTACAAGGCATCCGCTCATGTGCCGCTTCACGGGACAATCAAGTTTTGCCTGCTCGACCTTTCGGATGTGGTGCTGCCGTCGACGCTAAAGGCCTTTGAAACTACGCTTGCGCGGATGCGGGAAGCCCGGCGGCGGCGTGAGGCAGGCAGCGACAGCGGTGGCGAAGATGTCTCTTGGCAGGCCTACTTGCGCCGCTATCGTGCCGTCAGCCCCCCGCAGACCTCCGACTCTGGCTTCTCGCCGGAGCTCACCTTTTCCGACTACTCCGGAGGCTCTGACCCGACACTGTCGCCTGGCATTACGGCGTGGAGCGAACCTGGTGGACTCAGCGGCGACTCTTCGCTCGAGACGCGGCAACGTGCGACAAAACGGCAAGAAATACCGATTGCGAGCTGCTGGACAACAGAAAACTCGCGGCGACTCTTCGCAACGCCACCGATGCGGCCAGCCAAGCCAACGTGGGGCGGCCACGTCCTCCATCTATACCAGACCCCCTCCACTGGCTCGCATCCGTCCCGGTAGCTGCAAAGCGCAGGCTGGAGGAGAAGGAGGAAAAATCGTGTTGAGGAAAATAGCACCAAAACGAGAAACTAGTGAAGGGAGAGACGCAGAACCCCTACCACCACCAAAAAAAAAAGAAAAAAAGGGAAAATAAGTGGAGCAAAAATGAGGCAGTCTCCGCCGGCCCCTCGCAGCCAAAATAGAAGGACCACAACAGCGGAATCGGTGGGTACTTTGATGGCATCAATGGCAGCAGCACGGGGAAAGGAAAAAAAGGAAAAAGAAGGGGTTGCCAGGCATATGTGGACTGAAGTTGAAGAGAAAAGCAGTGTTACTTTTTTTTTTTGCATCAGCTTGGGTTCCGTGGGAAATGCCGCTGCATGTACGGCGAGAGGGTGGCACACGCTATGCCGAGAAACACAAAGCGGGGAATAGACGAAACGGCAACCGGAGCAGTACGCGAAGATGGAAGGTTTGGATGTCAAGAACACCAAAAAAAAAAAAGACAGTGTTGAAGTGTGGGTAAAGTGTGAAGCTGTGTGCTTGTTGCAAACTTAACGGCACCGTTCTCTTACTCTCTTTCCGGCTTCCTCCTCCTTCCGTGCCGCCACCCTCCCCCCAGTTGCCTTATCTGTGTTCTACTCGGCACTCCTCCTCTTCCTCCTCCGTGGCGTTCACCAAACACACCCACACACACGCACATACCGCAATGCGATGCACATGGGCAGATGCGGGGAAAGGGGAAGAGCGCAAGCGTTTAAAAAAAAAAAAAAAGAGACTTGTGCAGGATGTGGCGCGACCAGCCGAATATATTGCGCGCGCGACACACTGGCAGCACTTTTTATTTGCCCGGAGGGGGCACTAGCAGCGAGCAGGGTGGATCCGTGCCACAGGAGCCGTGCGAGTACTCCCTCCCTATAGTGAATCCGCATGACATACGGGACTGCTTGAGCACCGCGGAGCGTGGTTCGTCTGACACGAATGTAGTGGCGCTGCTTTCACGCTATCGGGTTGAGAACGAGAGGCTTCGAGATCAATTGAAGGCGCATGCCGTTCACGAGGCACTACTCGAGCAGCGTCTACACGAACTGAGCGCCAGAAACACCGCCCTTTATTTGCAAGAGTTTCGCAATAGGGAAAGCGATTCTGCTCTGGACGCGCTGAGAAAACAGCTAGAGGATCGCGAGCATGAGGTGCGTGCTCTGCAGCGCCAAATGGAGCAGCAAGCGGGACGCATTGCTGCATTTGAGGAAGTCGTTTCACGTCCTTCGCGGAACTCGGACGCGTCCCCGGCGACGCCTTCATCGTCATCCTTGTCGTCGTCGTCATCGCGTCGCACACACGAGCTTTTGTGTCAGATATTAAGCAGTATGGGGTTTTTAAGAAGTGTGTTTAGTGCAGTTAAGCATTGCCGAACAGTACCGCATGAGGAATCAGGGTGCTCGCGCCCACTGCAAGAGTGCATGGCACGTTGCCTGCAGGCTGCCCTGCGGGGTAACCAGGAGACGCTGGGGGATATGCTGGCCCGAGGGCACCAAGCGTCGTGTGAAGAGTTGGCCCTTGCCACTCGTGAGGAAGTGATTTTTTGTGAGACCTCAGCGGTGCAAATAGCGGCACAGCTACTTGCCGAGAGTACGTCTCCCGCGACCTTGGGGGCGGCACCCAAGACAACACCCTTACCGCCGTTAGATGATGACAGTGCAGGCGCAGCCGAGGAAGAAAGCGAGGGACGAGGGGATATGGGCGGTGAGAAGCGTGCTTCTCTCATAGAACAGAAACCGCCGTCAGCAGATCTGACGGCATCCCGCGAGACACGAAAGCCAAAAGCACGGCCCACGGTTGACGACTGCGAGGTTCAGTGAGGCAGGCTGTGTGGATGGATTTTCTGAGAGAACCGACGATGCGGCTTTTTGTGTCCATATATTCCTGCAGAGGGACCTTCCTTTATGTTTTCCCTCACCTCTTCCCCCCACCCACCTCCACAGTGGCAAGCTTGTCTTTTTGTCCGATTTTATTTTACTTATTTCCTTTCTTTCCTCTATCTATCTGTACCGAACTCTTTATTCGTTTTGCAGGTGAAGGCTGCTCCATCATCAAGACAGATTTACTCAAACAGCTCGGATCAATGTCCCCCGACTTTGCCTTCCATGACGTCTCTAACGACGCCATCAAGGCGATGACGCCGAGTGAGGCTCTGCAAAAGCATCTTGAGAATGCGCAGCTAGCGCATCGCGTGTGTGTCGCCAAGGCTCTGAAGGCTGATGAGCCGCCGGTGGAAAAGTGCGCCTTGACGTGGGGCGAAGTGCTTATCCGCTATCAGGCATGGGCAGAGTACCGCCCACCTTTTCAGGATAGCGTCGCCCAGTCCAAATACAAGAAGTACTGGACGAAGAAGCGCCAGGCCGAGGATGATAAGAGCCCCTTCAAATAAAGAAGCAGCCGTGGTGTGGAGAGCTGCTGCTGCTGTAGCGTGAATCTGTTGCCTGTAGTACGCCTCCAAATTTAGTAGTGGACAGGTGCGCCTGAGCGGAGGTTATGATACAAATAAAATATGAAAAAGAAAATATGTGTCGGTGGTAGTACCCTCAGCAGAGGAAACTTCATACGCGCAGTGACGTACTTCCATTTGTTTCTGTTTGTTTCTATCCCTTCCCCCGAGAGAGGTTGCAAACTGCTTCTATGTGTGGCTTTTTTTTTTTGCATGAATTGTTCGTCTTTGTTTTGTTTTGTTTTTTCTTGTGCGCCTTTCTGTCATCTAACCTGTAGCACAGTTAGATCTACTCCCGCACCAATGCAATGAAGTGCCGAATGACAAAAGCATTTTTTATTTTCTTTTGGTGTATGTGTGTGCCGTTACTCATTGAAGCTCTTATCCTCGACCAAAGCACGCACCACCGCCACCTTCTTGGCCTTTAACGTCTTTTGGAGCCGTGTCTCCTTGTGCCGTACCTTTCCGCCGCCACTTCACTCTTTGCTTCCGGGCACCCTGGCGTTATTTGATGCGGCGTGAAAGAGATTCCTCATTGCTGGCACTTCGTGGCTAAGACTAGTATTGGCAGCAAACGGACCTCTGCAGAGAGAGGGAGCTGTTCTTTGGGGCGCTGCGGCGCCACCAAATTGCTTCTCCCGGCGCCACATTTTATTCGGAAGAGTGCGACATGTGTGTTTACCCGGGGCTGAGGCAATGGGGTACTAGTAACATCTTTCCCCAGACCCACTAACACCCAATTGAGGAGTCGCAAGCCTCCCCCAGTTTCACTGTAGTGTCGAGCGCATTAGCCCAGACGCAATTGGCAACTCTCTGGCCAGCCTATATTAATGCAGTGAGGTAGCTGGCTTGTGAACGCACCAATGTGTATCCCACTTGGCGCGAACACTCCATCCACAAGGTCTCCCTAGAGGCGGTGTGTAGTTGACGAAATTTATACCTTTATATATATATATATATTATAAAAGGGTCATGGCACAACTTTTGCCCCGCTCTCTCGTGAGATGTTCTTTTTTTAATTATTATTTCCAGTGTCCGTAACAATTTACGGGCAACGTTTGTGTTTTGTGTTTATTACATGAATGCCGTTTAATATATATGCGGCGGGTGTGAGCGCCTCGGTGTCGAAGCCCCGCGCAGGGGAGGAGGGTACGCCCATGCCGTGGATGTGGAGTTGGAATTTATGCAAGCTTGAGCTGGGGTTAGTGGAGCACCTTGCGGGACAAAGAGACGAGGTCGACAACGACGAAAGAGGGGCAAGACGTAATGGCCCCACGAAGAAGCTTCGTTTTGTTTTATTTACTTGTATGTTTTGTGTCGGCGGATTTCATTCCCGTGTCAGGCTCACAGGCCCAGACACGTGGCAGCGGTATCGGCGCGCAGGAAAGGGAGCGGGCGTGGCGGCGGTGGTAGGAGTGGTTGAAGACGTGTGAGGGGGCAACTACTCTCATTCTGCTGTGGGGGGCATTTTTATGCCAAAAACGCGGGGGCGGCTGGGACCCATGGCACCTATGACGGCTCTCTGGACTGCGCAGCGTGCTCGCCGACTGTTTTTTTTTTTTGAGAAGGGAAATGTATGTACAGTGGGCGCCCAACGCGGCTTGCGCTGCAGACGGTTTAAGCTAGCAAGTTGCTACTGTGCGCCTGCGTGTACTTCGATG